ATAATACACGCTTTTATAATGTGTTATACTCCCTTTATCCCATAATAATATTTACTCACCAGAGGCTGAGCGGTGAAATCGCTGAACACTAGTAGTTCCAACATGGTTTCGATTCCAAGCAAACGACTGGCTGCATGGACGTTTTCGTTGTTCTTCTATGTGTAATGTGTACACAAGCTAGTTTCCTTAGAACGTCTTCACAAAGCCACCCCTCACCTAAGTGTGATAGTCCAAGTGTGCTTTGCCATAATCTACCAAACCAGTCACAAACCAACCCATAATGATATTTGCAACTGAATACTTAAACGGTATTCATTGGCGAATGCAGTTGTAGCACGAAATTGCGAAGACTTCAATCAAAATCAATGTATCAAGTTATTTGTTATGACACATTTTTGAATTTTTAAGTTAACCTAATTATTACGAAATACACCTATATATGTAATTTCATCCACTGATAGAAATCAGTGTCAGTTTCATGTCAGTTGGATATCAAGCCATCGCCTTAGTAGGCAGAAAAGTTTTCAAACAATAATCGAGTTGTGATTGTCCCGGATGCATCAAAGAAAAACGAAAAGTTGCGGAAATGTGCAATTACCTTAACTGAGAAACAATTTAAATGCAATAGAATATCCGTATCAAGAATCTGAAAACGGGCTTTGAAAACTAATTTTCAAGATGAAACTTAAAACTTTGAAGAAACAAGTAAACGTAGCTTTTGACAATATTTCTCCCGAAATACTGGATAATACGTTTCTGACACTTCAACAAGTTACGCTGGAAACAATGAAGGACGATGGCTTCAATAATTTTAGGCACTTGCAAAGCTTCGCAATTAAGGGATCCTACCACAATTTTAAACTGCAGTAACGAAATTATTTAAAATTCCAAAAACTATATGAAGACTCAAAATAAAAATTAGAATTACAATTTTTAATTTGTTATTTAATTTAATCTAGTTTTCTGTTAATAAGTGTTGCATTCTATATTTATTTTATTTTGCTGTTATTATTATGGGAAAATTTAAATTTATCAACTACTGCAATTATTATGGGACCCAGGGAGTATTAGCTTACTCAGAAATCATACACGTTCGCCAAAATTTCTCAATTCTGATTAATGCTCTCTTCCTCCCCGGGAGCTTATCTCGGTTTTTTTTTTCGCATAAATGCTTGTTTTTTTTGCTTGTTTCCCTCAATGTAAGGTCCAAAATATGCTCGTTGCGTCACCCAACTTGGTGGCACATAAGGCCACTGAATTCATGTTACAACTAATTTTGTAAGGTTCTAAGTAAAAACGTAAAATTTAATGTTACGATTACCATAGATATATTTTCTTGATATGCTGAAATATTCAAGTTAAATTAAATTAAATCTTCCTGAAGTTAAATTAAATAAATATATATTTTGTAAATTCTAAGCTACACATAAAAGATGAGGTATGACTTAAAAAATGTACTTTAAGAGACATAACCTTTCAAATATTCGACTTAGGTACATAATTGAGATGACTATATTAAATGAAATGTACATAACGTATTTTTTCTGAAAAAAGAAAATAAATAATGCCGCTTGTCTGAAAAGTTTAAGTGGCTATTATTCCAAAGGCTGAATTTTATTTACCAAAGCTGCATAAATGCTAGGAACACATTTGTATTTGTGTATTTTACTACATAATATTTACATCCAAATCCAATGAAATAGTTAATTACCATAAGAGGATAAAACTATTTTAGCAGTTTTATTTCAATGCTTTGTATGAGCATTACCGCGGTTAACTTGCATTTTACATAATGAAAATATAAAATAGTATAATTATTCATGTTCCTCAGTATTTAGAGACAGATTCCACTTCTGTTTTAACTATATAATTAATGTTAAAGCGTTGAAATATGCATATTTGTATAGTTTGCATAGAAAAAAATATTAACCAAAATTATAAACTTTTTATATCCGATCCATCATGGCAAAAACACCACTGCTTTTACATATTTAAATTACAAGCTAGATATAATCCCAAGAAGTATGATAAAAATTTAAAATGATTGGGCTTTAATTAGTACTACTGTAAATTTCTGCAGATAATTCAGGTTGTTGTTATCGTTGTGACTAATCTGACTTGTCTGACCTTATCATCGGCTCACCATAAGTTTAGAGTGGCCCCATGATGCAAAGACACTATACATTTATAAACATCCATGCCTTCTCCGGATTCGAAACCGGGCGTTTCGGTACGGTAGTCAGAGTCATTAGCTGCTATCTCATTTGTGCGGCCCATATATTTCAACTTATTTGACTACATTAATGTTTTTGTGTACTTTTGTAACACTACGTATTGTTTTATTTGTTGCTTTTAGGATTATGTTGTTTGTATCTAAATTTCCTCGGTCCCAATTTTTGTATATAATATTTTTTCTTATGTAGGATTTTAAATGTTTCGATTCTGAGTCCATAATATTTAAATTCCAATGACAGCTCATCTAGAACGCAAGATATATGCGAAGATAATGCTGACAGCGACATCTGGTGGTGTTTACGCAACGTCGCGATTTTTTAGCTGATTCCAGAAGCCACATTTTTGAAGATCTACGCCCGATTTTTCTTGAAGCTTGGAAAATGTATTGTAACATTTTTATGATCATATATTAATTTTGTTCTACATATGTTCTTAAGAAACTATTCAGCATTAAATAAGCGTCTTTTTCTGAAATCTTACAAACTGAGCATAAACCACTCTCCTACTAAGAGATCAAATGTGTTTTCCTGCTTTTCCTTGCCAACATTTGCATTTACAGATTTATTTTAACAACATTCTGCATCTCTCTAAAGGGCATATACGTTTTTACCACTATAATAAAATGATTGTTATTACAAATTGAAAAGAGACATTTATAACTATTCATTTGTATTCCATTTTGATTCATCAGTAAAGAAATAACCAAACTCTTCCTAATGTCTCACAACATTAGCCTGTCCACGAGAGGAAGCTCTGAATATCAATCAAGATCGATATTGATTTATTCAGAAATAATGGTTCTATTGGAATAAAAATGTCTCTGTCATATGCATCGAATTAATTACTTAACGTGAGACGCAAATTAAAATTTATACTGCATCGACCTCTTTATCAATTTGATGCATGTGCAGATAGAGTGCTTATATTCCAAGAAGAGAGAGTGTAAGAAGGAAATCTTAAGATTCCCCAGAATATCGTTCACTCCCAAGAACTGAGACAGCTCATTAATCATAGAACCACCAGGAATTGAGTGAGAGCCGTTCTTCAGCGGTGGTTTATTTTAATTAGTAACGAGATCCTTGACAATATCTATATGTGCCATTCATCAATATGCATAATATTAATACATTACAACGAAATAAACCGCATTTAGTTATTTTCTGAGCTACATCATGAAGTTCTAATTGCTTTATGCATTCTGATTAAAATATATGCATGCGATTGATGAATATTTCGATGAATATTTTACAGTCATTTATACATTTACGAGACGTAAACGAGGAATCATTGCATTTGAATAACAGCCATATTCTAATGTATTAATCTTTTGAAATTAGTTCAGTTTTTAAATAATTCAAATTTTAGAATTATGTGATTAGCATAAACACTCGTATAATAATGAATGACCAGTCGGTATTTAACAAAGACATTTCTATGATTCGTACTATATATGAATTATAGAAATATGCTGAAATTCAGCTCGGCTAAACAATTTACAGCTTAAATATTCAGATTAGGGAAATTTTGTCGATAAATATATGATGCTCGTTGAATTAATCATTTCTATTCTTCTACACAAAGCTTAGCTCAGTAAATTTTGCAGTATAATTAAAGTTTTAATTTAGTAAATCATAATTTATATTTCTTCCAACTTAGGTCTTTTTCAAACTTCAACTATGCTATATCTATGTAAATTTGAGAAATACATCAGGAAACTCAATCAATAATTTTAAATCAGTTTTATATGCTCAAAGTGATTATAATAACCGCTGACATGCTCAAAATTAACAATATCTTTCAATAAATTTGAAATTTATTGTAATCGAAAATACATTTTTCGGTTTATAGAAATGATTAATGATTTACTTAAAATAAATTTAAAACAATAATTATGTAATATGCAGCAAGAATAAAGTTAAGAGATAATTACTCTTTTAAAATACGAATCTCATAAAGATAATTGTACCAACTGAAATTCCGTATCAAGTATCAAACGATTTTAAAAGAAGTTTGACTCTACTTATAAATACTGCCATACTTATAATACAACGCTTCTATATTTTATTGACGAAATGTAATTGAGGTAAAAATCATATTTGTGTCGGATGTGATTAGATGAAAAAGTGATGACGATATTAAAAATGTTCGTTACGAGGATATGGAATGTCAGGCGTATTCAAATACAGAACTCGCATTACGGATATTATAAGTTTGTGATTTTAAACAAATAAGAATAACCGTTTGCTCCTAAGCAGATGAAAAATATATGTGATAAGTATGTTGCACAGAAAATGGTGTTTCAAGCACGAAATATTTTAACCGATCGATCGTAGCGCCAAAGTTGTCTCCGAATTCATAACAAAAAGTTTAGAAGGGGTCTTATATTGAAGACTATATTATAATATTAGATTCCCCTAGCCCTCTTTTCTAAATTATGATTTCCATTTTAAAAGTAATTGTATGACTATATGGTTTCGCTTGTATTTCGCTGTCGAAACGCTATTATTCTCAGGTAGTTCATTCACACCTGGAAGCGAATCTATGCTGCACTCCACACTAGTGCATCGTTGTTCCTCATTGCGTGATCTCTCAATTTCATTCTCTCACGTAACATCCAACAAAGCTACAACTGAGAATGATTAACTGAATATCCCCTCTGAAAATGAATATTCTCACCAGAGGAGTGATAAATGACGTGTATCATGTTTTGCATTTGAACAAACTAAATATTGAAGCTATACATTTTAAAGAAATTACTTATACGGTCACATTGAAAAAATATTTATTTAAATCAATATTTAAATTATATTCATATAACGCCTCTGTAATGAACAGAATCTGATATAGATTTATCTAATATACGTCAAATCATTGAGTCATCAATGACTGATTCCTTATAAATTTCACAAGATACAAGGATTGGGCCACATTTAAACAGCAACAAATTATCCTATTAAGTTCCAGAAATCTTTTCTTTGGACTATGGAAAGTCGATAGCCTCTGAAAATGCTTTCCTTGTGTTCCAAACTTCATTAACTGACCTATTTCAAAATACAATTTCTTATATTAAATATAATTGCTTAGATTATTTAGAATATTGTTTCAAAACGTATTACTGCTTTAAAATTCATATGTTATGGCAATTTTCAAATATAGATATAAAATGATTAATTTTATAGTCAACCAAGATCTTATACTTAATACGCATGTTTGACAGAAAGAAGGGTTTACATGAAATAAATAACAAGTTTTTTTTTTTTCTTTTTTTTTTCTGCTCGTCTCCTCCTCTTGTATCATTCCTCCTTGTAAATTAATTTTAACTGCTAAATTTATTTAAATCAGAATTCTGTTTACATATGTTTAAAAATCATTTATTTGCTATACATGTATTGCAAATATTATCTGATCATGCTAACCAGGCTTTAACTTATCAGAATATCTTTATCTTCGTACAATATTTGTACTTTTCATTCCGCATGGAAATAAATAGAAAAAGTTTAACCATTCCTATCTTAAACTATTTTCGTTCCCAGTAATAACTGACTATAGACACTTTAGAACAAAGGCAATAGTTAGAAGTTACATTCACCTTCAGAAATACTTGCTTCAATCGGAACATGTTTCTGGCTTCAATTATCTCGAGTATTCCCTTAAGGTCAGTGCTTTATATTTCCCATGGAATAACTATCGAGTTCTTCCCTTGGTATTTTCTTTGGCAGAAGCACATAATTTGTCATGAAACTCGTCTGTGAGTAATATTTCTTTCATCATCACAAATAATGTTGCCAATAATCTCGCAGAAACTTTTTGTCAAACATGATAGCTTTATTTCCAATATAAAAGGTGCAAATTATCACTGAGTCTGGAAATTACCTAAAATTTATATGTTTATTGCAGTTTAGAGTACTGAATCAGGAAATGGCAAATTGTGATTTAAGGATTATTTTTCTAAATTAAGTGATCTTGTTTCCTCATTTTATGAAATATAAGTTTGTGATATGATTAGAATTTGGTAATTCCGGTGCTTAATGAAAAAATAATGTAGTAAGTGAAAACAGATTGCATGTTTTTTTTTTTTTTTTTTTTTTGCTAAACTTCTTTTACAAAATGAATCGAAATGTTTTTCTTACAAAATTCTTACTATAATATCTGTTCTGTTATTATATTAAAGAATATTATTATTAGTATTTTGTTGTACATTGAATGCAAGATTAAAGAAAAAGAAAATAAAAATATTCAATCAATAATAATTCTTACAAGCTAAGCTAGTTCACTATATTTGTAGTTATTTTTATTAATATTTCATCAAAATCACAAATAAATGTGGCTTTTACTTCGAAATCTAAACTGTATTTTGAAACTTAGCGAAACTGTTATGTAGAGAAATTACCGGATAGCGTTATAAAAATTAGGTGAATGATTTTATGATTTATGGAAATTTAAATTTTATTTTGATTCTGAATTATTTAATTTAAGGCTTTAATTTGGCAAAAACAGATGCTTCTGGAAAATTATTTAGTTAAAAGAGTATATTTATTTTCCTCTATTTGTAAATCTTGTACAACTTTTATTCATGTGAAAGAAGCAGGGACAGGGAGGCAATTTCGCCAAGTCATGATTTCGCGCGCTTTAGAATGTTCGAGAAAGAATTTTCATTGTTAGTTGACCTTAAGAGAGGAAAGTACGTGACGGAAAGGTCAAAGGTTGCTACTTGTCTTTCAATGTAAGTCATTCAGGTTTTTTTGGCGATTGAGGGTCCGGTTGTTGGCTAAGTGAAGAAGGGCGCGCATGCGCGATCACCCTTTTTTTTCCGCATTCTGGAGTTGAAAACGAAGATTTTGCCATAATTAAGGGGGCGATAAGTGAAGCCATAGTGGGAGCCCGTTTGGTGAAGGAGAGAAGGAAATTTGAGTTGGACACACTTACTTTTGGCTGACTCTCGGGACTGACTCGCTGATTTTTGGGCTTGCTGGACAAAATGTAAGTGACTCCGAGAGGTGTTTCCGGCGGGGAGCGGCAAATATGCTCCCCGGCCGCGTTTTGGTTAAGAGGCGAGACTCTCTTACACACTTACTCTGGACTCGCTTAGGCACTCACTGCTTGGATTCGCTGACTTTCGGGCTGACGGACTTGTTGACGGAGACTGAGAAAAAACTTGTGGGTGTTGCGAAGGAGAAAGGAAAAGATTTAGTCGGCATCGAGCAGTGCTTCCGGCGGGGAGCGGCAATTATGCTCCCGGCCCGGGGTTTTCTCAAAAATGCGAAGAAAAAAAAAAACTGTTGAGCGAATAACAAAAAAATTAACAGAGACTTGGGTCTCTATCTGTATCGGCAAAAGTCAGGACGATGTCCTCTGAACTCCGACTTGAAAACAGAAGGAATTATGTCACCTTAGACAACTGGAAGCCTGCGTTAGCCGTTCTCTAAAATGCCTATCTTAATTGTCTACGTTTTCCTTGGTGGAGCTGAGAGTCTAGGCCAGACAGCCGTGCGGTGCAAGCTGTTCCTCTTGCTTCCAGTGGGAATAATTTTTTTCTATGGAAACCAGTAGCAGGCGTGAGAACGGATTTGACGTGTAAAGCTGATGTAATTTATTGTCGTGCCGTTCGAGTCTCTGTGGTGCGGATTTGCCAGGTGTCGTAAAGATAGAGCTAAGATAAAGTTCTCCTTCACTTCAAGATTGTCCACTCAAGTAAGTATTATTTTTTTGGTGTGTTGGAACTTTAGGCAAGTTTTTTCAAAAAACGTCCTTAGCAGTAAAAAAAAACAACGTCGAATCTAAAATTTAACTCTCAGGCCATAAATTGTTCCCTTTCCTTTTTTAAATCACCAGACAAAGCCACAAACTCGAACGGCACGACCAATAAATTACATCAGCTATACCGTCAAATCTTACGCCTGCTACTGGTTTCCATAGAAGAAAATTATTCCCACTGGAAGCAAGAGAACAGCTTACACCGCACGGCTGTCTGCCTAGCTCTCAGCTCCACCAGGAAGGAAAACGTTAGACAATTAAGCTAGGCATTTTAGAGAACGGCTAACCGCAGGCTTCCAGTTGTCTAAGGTGACATAATTCCTTCTGTTTTCAAGTCGGAGTTCAGAGGACATCGTCCTGACTTTTGCCGATACGCCGATACAGATAGAGACCCAAGTCTCTGTTAATTTTTTTTGTTATTCGCTCAACAGTTTTTTTTTTTCTTCGCATTTTGAGAAAACCCGCGGTCGGGGAGCATAATTGCCGCTCCCCGCCGGAAGCACTGCTCGATGCCGACTAAATCTTTTCCTTTCTCCTTCGCCAACACCCACAAGTTTTTTCTCAGTCTCCCGTCAACAAGTCCCGTCAAGCCGAACGGTCAGCGAATCCAAGCAGTGTGAGTGCCTAAGCGAGTCCAGAGTAAGTGTGTAAGAGAGTCTCGCCTCTTAACCAAAACGCGGCCGGGGAGCATATTTGCCGCTCCCGCCGGAAAACACCTCTCGGAGTCACTTACATTTGTCCAGCAAGCCCAAAAATCAGCAGCGAGTCAGTCCGAGAGTCAGCCAAAAGTAAGTGTGTCCAACTCAAATTTTCCTTCTTCTCCTTCACCCAAACGGGCTCCACTATGGCTTCACTTATCGCCCCCTTAATTATGGCAAAAAATCTTCGTTTTCAACCCAGAATGCGGAAAAAAAAGGGTGATCGCGCATGCGCGCCCCTTCTTCACTTAGCCAACACCGGACCCTCAATCGCCAAAAAACTTGAATGACTTACATTGAAAGACAAGTAGCCAACCTTTGGACCTTTCCGTCACGTACTTTCCTCTCTTAAGGTCAACTAACAATGAAAATTCTTTCTCGAACATTCTAAAGCGTGCGAATCATGACTTGGCGAAAATTGCCTCCCTTTCCCTGCTTCTTTCACAATGAATAAAAAGTTTGTACAAGATTTACAAATAGAGGAAAATAAATAATACTCTTTTAAACTAAATAATATTTCCAGAAGCATCTGTTTTTCCCCAAAATTAGAGCCTTAAATTAAATAATTCAGAATCAAAATAAAATTTAAATTTCCATAAATCATAAAATCATTCACCTAATTTTTATAACGCTATCCGGTAATTTCTCTACATAACAAAACATTTTTAACACAAGTGCGATCTTATTAACATAGCATGGCATTTTTTAAAATGAATGAAAACATTTTCTTGCAGATTTAATGTTACTAAAAGCAATTGACCAGGAACCAGAAATTTTTTCTGTAGATTATCTGGAATGTAAATAGTGAAATTTTCTGTGTCTTCTGTAAATTTCTGTAAATCGTGAAATTTTTTTACCAGCTATATAAGTTTAGAATTCATGACAACGAAGCATTTTGATAGAATTTCCTTACTGCAGATTCATTAAAATTAACAGCTTTCTTCAAATTGCCAAACGGTTTATTGTAGTGAGTTACCAATGTTTTAAAATTTAAAAATCATAAGATTTAAGCAATTGAATGCAAGTGATTTTCAAATATTCGGAATGAATTAACCATCGCACGCATTTTTATAAATTATTATATATTTGGTTTAAGTTAATTTTAACACGTCTTGAATGTGAAAATGGTTTTCTGTCTCTGCAAATATAATTTATATATCAATTTAAAAATTTTGTGTAATATTGTGCTAGAAACCCCAGTTTCCTTTTAATTTTTGCAAGTTAAATGAAAACACTTGCAAATATTGTTTTTAGATTTCATTCTGTTGATCATATCTGATTTTTTTCTAGTTGTCGACAAAACAAACGTAGCACACTATCCAACTGTTATCGAGCAAATAAAGACTTAAATTACTAACACTAAACACAGCTGAAACTAATCAATACCTATAAGAGTTATTTTGAAAAATCTATTGTAGAAGAAGTTATAAGTGACTTTCGTCTTATCAGTAAGTTAGCAGCTTCACGAGATAAACATTGTTAACAGATGTCACAGTGAATGAAATTTTGCGTACCTGTGACGGTGATTTTTCCGAAAGTATCACTTGTAACCATTTCGCCAGTTAATCTGTGTCGAGTCTGACAGCGGTAGCTCCAAGTGGAATCTTTTTCCTGTGTCTCGTGGATCAGCAGTTCTCCAGATCTCAGAACAGTGTAGGATCTCGCTACAAAAAAAAAAAAAAAAAAAAAAAAAAAAAAAAAAAAAGAGAGAGAGAGAGTGAGAGATATGAAATATTGCATTAGTTGCAAATACTGACAACATGTGATAGAAAATGACAGGCACTCACTTTAGAAATGAAAAATGTGTGGTTGAAAATAGAAGATGAAGCAATTCACAAATTCAAAAACAAAAGTATATATCACTGGAGTCTACTGTATTACAGCTTGCAGAGTAAGCTTCCCAGAGAATTACGTTACAAACATATTTGGGCGGAGGAAATATGCATAACGTCACTGGCGATTTTGGAAATTTCAGAAAAATTTAGTGTGGCGTAATGTGAATGATGATATAAAAGTAGACATTTTATTTTTGAATTTATATTTCGTTTCTTAATTCCTTTGTTTTTGTAGTTTTGTTTCTCGTTTTCACTGTTTCCTAAGCTTTTGATCGAATGTTGTGTCTTAAATGTCTCTTAACCAGGATTTACTTAATAGAAATTCATAATTTGTCTGATTTTTCTAAAACTGCCTTTTTCTTCCCTTCTAGAAACAGTATTTTAAAAGTTTTTCACTGAACTCTGGGCTTTAGGAGGAAAGGTAGAAACGTAGATAAAGCAATTTTTTATTTAATTGAATTAAATTGTGAATTAAGGATATTGTGAAATAAGCTAAATCGAAATGGCTGTAAAGCACAAAATTATGTAAACATTCATATTGTTTTGTGTTTATGAAGTAGCAATTATTATGCTATTTTTCAATTTAGTTGATATTATTCATTTAATCGCACACGTATAACAAATTGGAGAGTATGAATTTCAAAATATTTGTGGCTCGGTGATAAAACTATTTTCAATCTGACATTCGCTTGTGGTTTGGGTAAAGTGCATTGAGGCGCAGAAACGACATTTTTATATTGGAAATTTATTTTTACATTTGTGATCATATAAAGCTGAGTAACAGTAATTATTTATTTCCATATGATTCTATTCTTTTTACCATAGATTTTCGTGAGAGTGAAAAATCTAGAAATTTAGCTATGATTCTCTGTTTTTCAAACAAGGATTTTCTTGCTAGAAAGACCTGCTACCTATCTAGAAATTTAGCTATGATTCTCTGTTTTTCAAACAAGGATCTTCTTGCTAGAAAGACCTGCTACCTCGAGACACAATAGCAATTCCTGGTTAGTAAGGCACATGTTGAAACGTGATGTCCGTAAATTTTTTCTTGTTTTACAAAAGATACTTCACAGGTAGTTTTTAAAAATCTCTAATTTACTAGAAGATTGATTTTTGTCTTCTAAAAATGACGAATGACTCCACTAATGACAGAGATTAGAAATCTAAACATCACTTTATAAATCTGCTAAAATTTTTTGATACGTTTATAAGGAACAATTGCTTTCTTTATACTATAAGATATATTATAAGATATACTATAAGATACTATAAGATATACTATAAGTATATCTTTATATTATAAGTTTATAAGGAACTATTGCTTATGTTTGAAATGACAAAATATGACTGTTTTGTCAATGTTAGATTAAAATAAATTCTTTGAGAATAACTAGCGAAAGCCGACTCCCTGTTCCTGTACTTATGTTTAGGAAAGATTTATACTCGTTATGAGAAATTCAAATTATAAGGAGTTCAAATTATAAGAAATCATACGACAAAATCGGCATATTTAATTTCAAATCTTGCAACTTTTGATGTCATTTTCGACTTTTCTTGAGGGATCGCCTAATACAGTCATTGGGCAAGAGTAATTGGAGGAAATTTGTGTAAATGAATTGAAGCAAAAGATATGTATAATTTAATAGACCGCCGTACAAGGAAATCATGTGGTGCCCACATCAATTTTTTTTATGAATAATTTCGTTAGTTAATTACTTACCTTGTGTTTTGAACGATTGCATTTTTAATAAAGAAATATCATTTGGGAAATAAGTTTCTTATTAAAAATGAATGTATTATAAATCAGCTTGGTATTTTCCTTGTTTCACCACTTTACTAGATAGCTGTTAATAGTCAGCGATGTTGAGTTAGAAAGGTAATGATATTAATTGAAATATAAGCTCATGTAATATTTTTTAAATCTCATACCTAATTCTGATGCAATTTTTCTAAAGGTATCGTATTTTCGTTTCTTAGCATCAATTTATTCTGGCATACACTTGAGTCATTTAACAATATTTAATATATTTTGTTACAGGTAACTGTAAGTTTGTTTATTTTTTTTCCTTTGGAGAGAATATAGTAAATATATTTTTAATTCTCTAAAACAATTCCGTAAATTTTCCAAATTTTTCTCTTCATGTCACATTGCTACAATTTTGTATTTAAGTGATTTGAAAATTATAAGTTTTAGTACATATAAATGGACTTCTTAAATTAAAAATTCAGTGCTTTAGATAAAATAGAGTTAAATAAATTATATATTGTTTCTATATATATCACTGCTTTTCTTATTCGCTACCCCCTTTTATAGTATAATTTATTAGAAAAATATTTCTTACACACAGTGTTGTGGGAAAGGTAATATCGGAATCCAAATTTTATTTATTCGAAGCAAAATGCAATATTAAAGACAAATGGAATAATGTTTCCTTAAAAAACATCAGCAGACTTTCCAGATTTTCTGCTTACATAGAATAATCACGTTTTTTTACTCACAGATCTTGGCACTTTGTTTTTGATTACATTGGCGATCTTGGCACTTTGTTTTTGATTGACACAACAAATATTATTATTTGTAGTCCAAAATATCATTGACACAACAAATATTATTATTTGTGGTCCAAACAATATCTTCAATGGTTTGCAAAGTTCAAAATGATGGGTAAAGTACAAAAATCAAATAGACAAATACATTTGAAACGAAATCCAGAGAACTTCTGATACAGTTTTGCGTACTTAGCAGCAAAATTCTAAATTTACGCCACAGTACTTTCATATCCCTACGGTATATCGTTTGCCAAAGGGATATTTGCCAAGGATTTTTTTCCCACACTGGGTTTTGTTTATCGTGAACTTTAGCAGAGGAAGTATTATAATAAAAGGTGGAGTTACGTTGTTTCTGCAAGGGAGCAGACAATAATCCAAGCACCCGCGCGTTAGCCGATTTCGTAACAAATTGCCCCTGAAATGGTAGATAACCACCATGTTAACCACAATGGTTTTCCTTGTAATTTAGATTTGCATTTGAAGAGATTTTAATATCTACACGTACTTGAATGTACGTGTATGAGCTACATGTAAATATGAATAGCTACATGTAAATATGAAACGTTGTTTGTGAGCTCGTTTCATTATGTAACACTAGCATCGAAACTGCTCCTCTAAATATTATTTGACAATACCATTTTTGCAACTGGTGTATAATTATGCTGTGCCATAAAGAATGCTCCAGGTAGGTTTTGTTCAAAAGATGTATTCGTATAAATCCACAATATTATATCAGTTTTATTTCTGAAATGCTTAGGGATATTTCAACTTTTCACGCTCGTTAGGCTAGAAATAACGCAGTTCATTTTGCTTTATATATTATTTTTAGTTTTATTTGATCATTTCGTTAAGGTGTTTCTATATATACAATAGAAATCCATACGTACAATTCAATAGACTACAGGGGGTTTCAAAAGAAGACAAAGAAATACCTTTTTAGTGACCGTTCTAAGATTCATGGTTTGAGCTTAAGAAATGCACCAAAAGAGAAAGAAATTCGATTGGGTTATGTTTAATCATCTAGCAATTTTAAAACAAAAATGTAGAAAAGAAACTATTACACGAGCTCGTAGGAATATCCAATGAAAAATATGTTTTCTGGAATCAAATTAGAACTTGATATTTTGCTACAGTTAACAGCTTTTAAGAATGGAAAAAGCCCTCTAGTAACATATTCTTGTACTAAACATCATGTGTATATCAGCATATCCTATTTTTGCATATGCTAAAATGTGATAAAATGCATAATTATACTTATAATCAAAATGAAGCTGTATGTTCCATATTAGTATCTTTTACATATGTTTTCTACCCCAGTAATTGAAGTGATACTTATATATGGATATATATCATTTGCATTTCTTCCCGAAAATATCCTATTTTTTACGATATATTTTCATAACAATTGGTTTAACATTCTTTTACAAAATTTGATTGTTTAATAGTCTTTCTTATTTCAAGATTTGTACGTATAAGAATCTTGTATATACATTTAAGAATGTTAACAATTAAATTGAATTCTTTTAAATAATTCAATAATATTTTAATTGGAATACCCCAAAAGTGCTTGCTCATTATTTGTAAAATCTTAGCCTAATCAACTGAATTTATAATAAGTAAACTGCGAACAGCCAGTAGCATAGATTTAAAATTACAGTGAGATCACAAAAATTTGTTTAATGTAAGGAACAAAGATAAAATGCTTATTTATTCATCCAGTTTTAAAAGCAGAATGGAACATTTAAACAATTAACATTTAAACAAATAAATTTTAAATGAGGATAAATTCATCATGGAATGTGCATTAAGTATTGTCTTTGTATTGTCCTTTCAAGAAATGCACGATGATGATTGATGTAGAATATAAAGTAAATATTGGAAAAGCAATTTGAAACTGTACATTCAAGAACGGAAAAAGAAAAACGGAATATTACATGTCTCGAGTTCTTGATTTATTTCTGTGCATCTTTCAATACTCAAACATAAATTCTAAAGATTATTTCATAAGAAAACAATGTTTTCGTTATCAAAGGAAAGATTTCGAAAACACAGGAAATATAATAATGCCAAGTGCATAAAATTTATAATTGACTTATTATGTTAACGATAATGTATTACGTATATTAATTAATCCTATATTTTTATAAAATAAATTATACTGCGCGTAATGTATAATATTATATTAAGAATTGTCTCATTGAAATCTTATATTCCTTAATTTCAAATTTTCTGTAATATTCTCGGAGCTCAAGAAATTAGGATAGAACTGAACGAAAAGA